AATAATAATAATAATAATAATAATTTAATTTATATACCGCCCTTCTCCCATAGGACTCAGGGCGGTTCACAGCATATTTAAAAACAGATACTATACACAAATACAAAAATACAAAAACACAAAAATATAAACCCCAATAAAAACCGAATTAAAAACCAAATATTGACGGCTGTGTTTCCAATTAAAATTACTGTTAAAACCATCCCTACCTAAAATCCTCCCTAGGTCAGGCCCGCTTGCTGGAAAAACCATGTCTTGAGGGCGCGGCGGAAAGTAAGGAGATCCGGAATCATCCGGATCTCGGGGGGTAGTTCGTTCCAGAGGGTGGGGGCACCCACAGAGAAGGCCCTCCCCCTGGGGGTCGCCAAAGGTTCTTCTTTTCAGGACTTTCTTGTTCTTTTCTTGAAGAGGTTTCGCTTCTCCTCCAAGAAGCTTCCTCAGCTCTGACTGGATAGTGGAGAAGGGAAGGATTTACACTCCTTGCAGACAGCTGGTCATTTGCATCCTTTTAGAGAGTCTGCTGAGGCCACTTGGAGGTGTACCTGTGTCCTCAGGGTCTCCTGAGTGGTGCAAATGGGTGTGGAGCCTTCTTGGCTGCAGGATGTCTTCTGCCCTGGGTCCCTTCCTTGTTGAAGACGGGCACAGGCTGTTGGGGATGAGTCCATGTTGTCTGCCTCTCCAACTGAAGAACAAATGATTCCCGGAGCCTGCAATGTTTTCTGGGAATCCATTCATCCTCCCACACCATCCGATGGGAGTTCATCCAATATTGCTAAATGTCAATGGAGATTCTCAGTCATCCAGGTCAGGGTTGTCCCAAAGATGTTTTTCCAGGAGGCAACTGGACTTCTCTTGTTTTTTCTTTGAAGACGTTTTGCTTCTCATCCATGAAGCTTCTTCAGCTCTGACTGGATGGTGGGGGAAATGGAAGGGTTTATACTCCTTGCAGACAGCTGGTCATTTGCATCCTTTTAGAGAGTCCTTGAGGCCACTTGGAGGTTTATCTGTGTCCACAGGGTCACCTGAGTGATGCAAATGGGTGTGGAGCCTTCTTGGAGCTGCTGAAAAGACCGTGTTGTAGACTGGAGATAGACGATGCCGTTTCCCTCCCCCTCTGTTGAGGGAGGGGCTGTTCAGTTGGATGGCCTCTTTGACCCCCTCTTTCAAACCAATTGCCTCCTGAAAAAGCACCTTTGGGATGAGTTGAGTTGCATTGAATTGAATTGAATTGAATACAGGTAGTCCTCGGTCTCTACCATTGAGCCCCAATTGGATTCTGCTGCTAAGTGAAACATTTGTTAAGGGGATTTTGCAAAACACTCTGTGCCTTTTTTTTCTGCCGCAATTGTTAAGGGAATCCCTGCAGTGGGTTTTAAGTTGTCCACCTGGTTGTTAAATGAATCTGGCTTTCCCCCGTTGACTCTGCTTGTCAGAAGGTCGTAAAAGGGAGGATCAGGTGACCTTGGGACACCTGCAAACCATCATAAATGTGAGTCAATTGTCAAGCCTCCGAATAATGTAAATCATATGACCATGGGGATGCTACGATGGTCGTTAAGTGTGAAAAATAGCCAGACTCACTATCAACGCTTGCAGCAACGGTCATAAGCATAAGGACCGGTTGTAAGCCACTTGTCGTAATTGAATAATTGTAAGTCAAGGACTTCCTATATATGGTGTGAACTGCTCTAGTGTCAACAGAGGGCAGCACGCAGCTGTGTAGTCTGAATTTGTAAGCTAATTGGGATCATAGGAAAAAGTAACAAGATATTGCTGAATTCTAGGCTTGATTATTGCCAACAGGACAATATGGATGTGCCTTGTAACCACCAGGAATTAAGCTGGAGTCCAAAGTCCATTTTCCATTTTTTTCTGTGTGCCAAATGGTCTATATTATCTAGGCCTGTGTTGCCTCTTTTGGCATCTCCGTCTCTGCTGAATCTTTAGCCTTAAAATATTTCTGAAATGAAAGATGAAGTGGGATGCTTCAAAGCACGAGGATCAGGTTGTAGACCAGTATTTCTCACCCTTGGCAACTTTAAGATGGATGGACTTCAGTTCCCAGAATTCCCCAACTAGCATGATAGATAGATAGATAGATAGATAGATAGATAGATAGATAGATAGATAGATAGATAGATAGATAGATAGATAGATAGATAGACAGACCGATAGTAAATAGATTGATAGTAAATATAGTAGATAAAAGATAGATGGATAGATGATAGATTGATAGTAAATAGATTATAGTTAGATGATAGACAGTAGATAAAAGATGAATAGATGGATAGATGAGATAGATAGATGATAGATTGATAGTAAATAGATAATAGATAAATAGATGAGAGATATATGATTGATAGAGTAGATAAAGAGATGGATAGATAGATGGNGATAGATAGTTGCATATACCTTGTTAATTAGATAATAGATGAATAGATGATAGACACAGTAGATAAAATATGGATGGATAGATATAGACAGACAGATAGATGATAGACAGGATAAAGATGAATAGATAGATGGATATATAGATAGATGAATGGATAGATGGATATATAGATAGATGAATGGATAGATGGATATATAGATAGATGGATAGATAGATATATAGAGAGTAAATAGATGATAGATAAATAGGTAGGTAGATTAAATAGACAGATGATAAAGACAGACAGTAGATAAAATATGGATTGATAGATGATAGATAGATAGATAGATAGATAGATAGATAGATAGATAGATAGATAGATAGATAGATAGATATGATTGATAGTAAATAGATTGTAGTTAAATAGATGATAGACAGTAGATAAAAGATAGATGAGATAGATGATAGATTGATAATAAATAGATAATAGATAAATAGATGAGAGATAATTGATAGACAGAATAGATAAAGAGATGGATAGATAGATGGATATATAGATGTATGGATAGATAGATACATATACATAGTAAATAGATAATAGATGAATAGATGATAGAGTAGATAAAATATGGATGGATAGATGATAGATAGAGACATGATAGACAGACAGAAGATAAAGATGAATAGATAGATGGATATATATATATAGAGAG